GTTGCTGTGGGGTGAGGGGTTTGGGGGGGATGCTGAAGAGGGACTTGGGGAGCAATGCTGGGGGGGGTAGGAGGGATGCTGCTGCAGGGTGAGGGATTTAGGGGGATGCTGCAGGGTGGGAGTGCAAACACGGACCCCTCAGCACCATCTGCTCAGCAGAGCTGGGCTTGTGGGGTGCTGAGGGTCACCCTTGCCGTCCTTGGGGCAGAATCTGCCCCCCCCCCAGCAGGTCTCCCCTTTTCAGGGTCTGCAAAGCAGAGAAGCAGGAGTCTTATTTTTCCTGGAGACCCAGCAGATGCGGGGGCTGTGGGGACCTGTTTTTGGGGTGCCTCTGTTGCCTCTTCGCTTTGGGGATGGATTCAGTCATTGGCCCGTGCCCTGGGACAGAGCTGGCTTGGCTAGGGAGGACGGTTTGCTGCAATTTGGGGTGCCTTTGGCTCGGGAGGGACAGGGCAGGGGACACAGGACATGGAGAAAAGGCCAGCAGCTGGTTCAGCCCTGGAGATGGGGGTTTCAGTCTGCCTAGCGCTCTGCCAGCATAAAGCTCCTGCAGTGTCGAAACATCCAGATATTTCATCAAGAGCCTCTTATAAACGCCTAGGAGGGAATTAACAGCTTTTCATTCATCTGATGGTTCACATGGTAAACAGCTCCTGGGTCGCTGACCGAGGAGGCAGCAATGGCGTGCGGTGGGTTTCCGCCGTCACGGAGCGAGGTTTTCGGTTGCAGCGGTCCCGGCTTCATCCCAACGGGCTGGTGGGATGGATACGGGCAGGAATTGGGAGCACGGGGATGGCTTTAATGCGTTATCTGCCTTGGGTCCTGCACTTTGCATCTTCATGCAATGCATCAGCCTCTCTGCCTGGAGGGTGTTTCCATTCCTGTGATGGTTTTGCAAGGAGGCACCGAAAGCCCAGGTGGGCAGAGGGCTACATCCCACACGTGCGTGTCTTCTGGGACACGGGGTTTAAATGACTTCCCCGGGTGAAAACAGCCTTCCAGGCCCAGAGCAAGGTGGCAAATCTCTACCGTACGCAGCTCTGATGCAGTCCAGCTGCTGATCTGTCCCAGTGGGAGGGAAACGCCCGGTCAGGGAGTGTGAAATAGCTTTTAGTGTGGCCGAGGAGCAATTTGGAAGAGGGCTCATCCCTTCGCTTGGCTCCCAACACGACCGGAGACCCTACACTGACCCTTTTCCAAGGGGTTATCTGCAAGGAACTCATTATCCTGGCAGATTCCAGCAAACACATCCTCTCAGCTCAGCTCCAGCATTTTTTTTTTTTTTTTTCAGCTGGAATGTTAAAAATAAACCCAGCGGATACATAAAACAAATGGAAAATCTTTAAAGGGCTTTGCTGTTCATCCGCCTGCGTTTGGTTGTTGCTGCTCCACCTGCTGAGCCGGGCTACTGCCACGGCTGTAGGTTCCAAAGTTGGGGAAACTGAGGCAGGGAGGTCCCATCGGAGGGGAGAGCATCACCCCGTTGCGGCGCACGGAGCCCGAGGACCAGGCATGCAGCAGGCGAAGGGAAGCGATGGCCCCCGCAAGTCCTGACTCCCGTCGCTGGTGCTGGTCAGTCCCCAGCCAGGAGCGAGGGTGCCCGGGCAGCCGGGACTTCTCTCTGCACCCGGAGTTTTACCGGTGCCACTTTATCTTGGCTTAAGTCCTCCTCTCCTATGGGGATTGCTCCTCTTAGGAAGTTTTCCACGGCATTGCCTTAGCTTGAATTTTTCTCCTCCACGTCCCGGATAACGGGGGACGCTGCCTCTCCCACCCCCTCCAAACAGCCCCTGCGCAGAAGAGGAGTTAAATCAAATCGAGGTGGCGAGAGCGATGCTGAGGCCGTCGAGGAGGAAAATTCATGTTGTGCATCTGCCCGGCGAGCTGGGGTCCATCCGGGGGGATTTACAGCCACGGCTGCTAACAGCAGCGTTTTGATTTACTCAGAGGCTGCAAAGTCGACAAAGCATATTTCACCAGGGGAAGACCCTCTTCCCCTCCGGAATTTATTGGTTTTAATTAAAATGGCCATAAAAATAACAGGCAGGAGCTGTGAATCTGCTCTGGCAGGACTCCAGTCAAAATCCATGGGAATCTCTGGAGGTTAATGGCGGAGGAAACGGGGGGAGATGATTTCTCCCCAAAGATTTTCGGGAACTCGGGAGGACGCTGAGCCTCTGTTCGTGCCGCTCACTTTGTCTGGCCGTGGTCCTGTCGGAGAGCGCCTCGCGCCGGGGCTCTGGCAACGCCGGGATGGCTGTGTCTTGTGCCGATGGCCGCGGGGCCGAGGTGTGAGCCGGGGAGCCAGGTCACCGGGGCAGCTCTGCCAGGTTTATAAATATAAATATATAAATAGACATATATTTAAAATATTTATACATAAATATAATTTCCACTTTGGCAGCCAGCTTGAGTCCTGCCTGTGACAATTCAGGGCTCTGATGCATGGAGGGGAAGCTGCGATTTTTATTCCCCCTCCCCGGTGCTTGACTTCCCTTTTTACTGGATTTTTGCCCAGAATTTGAAGAAGCGGCACTGGGGCAGCCGGGTGCAATGGCTTTTAGTTGGGCTGAGGGTTGCTTTTGGCAAGCCGAGCAGCCCCAAGTGTTGGCCGCGGGGGCTTTCCCTGGCTTGCATTGCAGTTCATGTGCCGCTTTCTCGCCTCCCGACGCTACACAAGCAGGTTTGTTTTTTTTTTATTTGTGCAGGGTTTTGCTTTTAAAGCAAATACCACTCAGACCTGGAGCTTGGCGTCCGCGATCGATCCTGCGGGGACCGGCTGAAATGCCACCGTGGGTGCTGCATCCTGGTCCCATCGTTGTCCGTGACCCTTCCTAACACCCTGGCATGAACCGGTGCCAGATGGTACCCGCCGGCAGGGACACACCACGTGTGCGGGCACCTTTTTTCTCCATCCCTTTGCCTGCTTTTCCACTTACCCTTGACAAAAGCATTCTGTGGGGCTCTTTGTCGACGGAGCACCGCATCCCCGGGTGCTCAAGAGGAGCCAAAATAACCCCGTTGTGGCAGCAAATGAATAAACCCCTCAACAAATCCACAGCACCAGAAGTCAAAATCGGATGCTGCTTGGAGAGTTCCCTGAACGTTTCATCTGCACCCTGCCAAGAGAGGGACTTTATTTGCATGGCTTTGCGCTTGGTAGCGAACGCAACCCCTCCGGCGGGGAAGGAAGGAACGTGGTCGGGGGAGGCAATGGCTCCTGTCGAGCCCACCAGCTCCTTTCCCTTCCGCTCGGCGAAGCCGTCTGCCCTCAAGGGTGCAAACCCGTCGTGGGGTCTGCAGGCGAAGCCTAAAAATAGCAGGGTGCGTAAGAGGAGCTGGGGAGGGGATCGTCATGCGAGGAGGCAGCTGGGCTAAGCGAGGCAGACAGCAACCTGGGCAGAGCA